ATGTAGCCAACCTTGTCTGTGACTCCTCTGATATATGGTAGTACAGCTACACGCTCGACTGTGGCCGGCTTCACTCGGTCACTGTGACGTAGGCGCGGGACCCGAAGCTTGTTGTCTTGCAATACTTGCTTGACGTGCTGAAGTTCGGCGGCCAGATGTTTTCTGTCACAGATCCCTCGTGCTCTCTGAAACAAAGATTTACCAACCGATATTTAAATGGTGAATCTCACCATCATCCTTCACAGTTAGCTACCGTGGGTAAATCCCCCCCGTGACCATGGTTGCTGTAAAGCACCCGAAACGTCGGGAATTAAAAATAAGTAAAAGTAGCGAAATAAACGCGATAAAATCCGTAAATTTAGTTTTATTCAAAATGTGGATCCATTTAGATTTAGGATAATGAAGGGACATTTCTTTAAAAAAAAATTTTTTTTAAACTGATAAAGTGTAGCCTAGATCCCATCTGTAATTACTCTCTATCTGTTCGTACAGTTTCATTACAATCGGTTCAGTCATTCTGAAGATTGCCCGGACAGACAGGCAGACAATTCTTGTACAAATGGTTATTTATGTCTTAAAACATTAAAACAACTTGCTGAGCTCAATGGAAGCCAGTTATTTCAATATTACAGTCAAACGATTCAATATTATTTATATGTTTAGATTGCATTGCGTTTGAACACATAAATCTTTAGGATTTCCTTGTTTTGATCCCTCTCAGGAACATGCATCATATATATGCATCAGCTTGTAAAAGTCCATTGTTTATTTTTGGGAACATTTAAAATTCTGGCAGATAAGTATGTTAACGTGGTACCATGTAGTGGCAATATAAATTTAAAAAAACCCACTACCCCATATCATCCCGTGGATCTCATTAGAACGATAGAGGGAAACAAACTAGGAGAGGGCAGCAACGTATTCTTAAGAACTATAAAAAAACTGCGATCCTGACTGCCAAGCGTGGTAACTATAGAAATATCTGCTCCGAGGCAATTTATGAGGAAACCAATACTAAGCAGTGCACTTCTGATAGGCTGTATCGGTTCAAATACGGAGAAGTGTGTTGGCACCATATCAATATATGTATAGGATAGGATAATAAACGAGCACACAGTCCACCTGATGGTAAGTGGTTGCTGTGGTCCATAGACATCTATCCTCGATTACGAATCAAAACGCAGATGCGTTGTCAACTGTGAGGACCAAGATGTGCATTACATCTTGGTCCTCAGGGTTGTTCGTTGTGTGGTTCGTTTACAGTAAAAAGGGTCTCCGGTTCTCTACAATCACCATACGAAACACAGTAGTATCAAGCTACAATTTTACGCTGGTATTCTGTGAGAGTGTGGTCCTTTCCCGGTCGAGCCGACCCATTCGTGCTACAACTATTTTGCTAATATAACTGTAGCATGGCTCTATCACGTGTAAATGTATAAACATATTAGCCAAGAACTACACGCTACAGAAGAATTATGCTCATAATATGTTACAAACAACCAGTCATAGCATATGAGCCTGCCTCTCCATAATATTTTTTACCGCCGTTTAATTAATACCGCCACCTCACGGCGCAAATAATCCAATAATACTACATAAACTTATATTAATTTAAAAAAACGTATTTTTTCAAAAAAATCTGAAAAAATATAGCTTAGATCCCTTCTGGATTGCTCTCTATTTGTTCGTATAGTTTCATCACAATTGGTTCAGTCATTCTGAATATTAGCCTGGACTGACAGGCAGACAATTCTTTACGAATGGTTATTTACTCGTATGTCTTAATAACATTAAAGTAACTTGCTGAGCTCAATAGCTAGTTATTTCAATATTACAGTCAAACGCTTCAATTTTATTTATATGTTTAGATTGACATTGCGTTTGAACACATACATTTTGAGGATTTCCTCGTTTTATATGTATCATATGCATCAGCTTGTCAAAAATCTGCGATGACGCCTGCCAAGCGTGGTAACTATAGAAATATCCTCTACGAGCCAATTTGTGAGGAGGCCAATGCTTAGCGGTGGACTTTTGATAGGCTATATCGGTTAAAACAAAGGTAAGTGTGTTGGTATGTTGACACCATATTAACTTTTCTTTTATAGGATAGGGTGACAAACGAGCACACAGTCCATCTGATGTTTAGTAGTTGCTGTGGTCCATAGACACCTACGTCTATTCTCAATTACGAATCGAAATGAAGATGCTATGTCACCTGTGTTTCCAGTAAAAAAGGTCTCCAGTTCTCTACACTCATCCTACGAAACACAGAAGCATTAAGCTACTATTTTAGGACGGTATTTTGTGAGAGCGTTTGAGTCGACCTATTGGTGGAACAATAATTATACTACTATTATTAATGCAGCAATGCTCTACTAAGTATAACAGTATAAGTATACTGGCCAAGAAGAAACTACACGCTAAAAAAGTATGTTTATATGTTACCAACAACTATTCATAGCATATGCGCCTGCCTCTCCATAATATTTTTTTGGAATTTCCCAAATGCCTCAAACTGTACCCTCCGCATGAAATCGGGTGATGGATTCAATTGATACCACCATCACACATTGTAAATTAGCCAATAATACTGTAGAAACCGTTACCTGTGATTTAGATTTTCATTATAAGTGTAATATCTTATTGTTCCCGCCCTTATCCCAAGTTATTTAAGGGTCGACATAGCCTGTGTTCCTCGTCCATTCTCCTACATCCGCCATCATCTATTCACTCACACCATTCTTACGGATTTTTACCCAAACGCAGTCTATCCATAATTTCTTAGACCTCACTTATATTCATCCACTTTCATAACCAACATTCTTCTTGTTACATTTTTACTTCCCTTCACATAATATGTCCATATCACACTAGCTTATCACTTTTCAACTAATCCGTGAACGGTGACGCTCCCAATCCATGAGAATAAAGTCCTCCATACCAAATATTTATATCCCGATGACCAACCTCAACGGAGACTAGCCAATAAGCAGAGGACAGGATTAAAGTGCACGAGTGTGCGTGCAACCATAATCCGCTCTTTATATTGATCTCGTAGTCCGATTGTACGGATATCCGATACGATCGGAGAGAGACCAACTGCTTTTTGTGCTTTTCAAAGCATGGTTGTAAATACCGCGAACTTCGCTAGACTCGGGATTTGAACTACATGATCTATCTTTCCGTCCGGATACAATCAGGACGGAAAGGCAAGGCAACTTTCAAGGCAAGAGTGAATAAACTTTTGCTACGTTAAGACAGTGCGATTTACCATCTGAGGCTGCATCACCACTTACCACCAGGCGGGATTGTGGTCAAGCACTGGCTTATAACAAGTAAAAAAAATCACTCGGCACGCTTGCGATCACTAGACCGAAGAGAAATAAGAACAATACAGTTTCAGTGTTTATACGAGTACGGCACTGATTGAAACTGCGAAAGAAGAGATCGTGTTTGGAATACAACTGATATTAACATTGTTCTAAGAATTTATAGCGCTTATTGTTCTGCTGGAATTATTTCGGATGTAATTTGTTTTTCTTTTATTCTAATAATGCTGGGTTATTTATATTCCATACTAGCGTTATGATTTGAACGAATGCGATTTACTAGAGTATTATAGCCTTGTTGTCTCTCCTCGACGATGGAAATAATACTATATGTTAGTGTCGCTTCTTATCTCGGTGGCGTTACATAAGTTAAAAGTAACTTTAAAATTTCTGAACGCATCCTCTAGTTGCACCTCATTCGCGCCTCAATCTGTCAACCCATTCGGTTTTTATGTCGGACGGCGTTACTACGTATTAATACATTCAGCAGCGAATTAAGTTTTTTAGTTCGGGTATTTTCCTTTAATTACTTTTTAAAATGAAAAGAAAACGTGACAAAGATAGAAGTGACGATAAGATAAAAAAAGAAAATAAGAAAACTTATGAAAAAAGTTAAAAAACTTTCAAAACAGCAGGGCCGTAAATAGCTTATTATTGCATAATTTAAAACTGTGTTAACCCGTAGCATTATCAAATAATACCTAGACATACAATCATTATTATTAACGTGGTTTCCTACTAAAATCAGCCGAGACGAAATACTAACTTGTCACTACCTGTTCTCCATTAAGACGCATAACGCATTACAACGCCATTTTGTTTTGTTTTATTGTTTATTGTGTTTTCACCTCTCCGAGCAGGAAGTCCGTTTAATACATTGAACAATATTATACCTCATCTCATTTAAAATAGAATTGTTGGAAGTAATATAATAATAAATATGAACCTATCTATAGAATATATATTTGAGTTGGTCTATTAAACAGGTTGTATTATAAGAAGTAACCAAATTAATTTTTTTTAAGTGTGTAATTCATTGTTAGCTATTGCTGTAGAGCATAGGACCATATATAATCTTATGGGACCAAGCTATTGTAGTTGCTACGGCTGTAGAGCCTAGATCTACAAAAACAAAAAGATTTTACATTATGCCATTGGTTGCTACGGTTGCAGAGCCTAGAACCCATGGTCACCCTAAAATCAATATCAGGTTGCTACGGCTGCAGAGCCTAGAACCATAAAACATACATAAAGCCTAATATTAGACATGGCCCCTAAATTTTCATAAAGAATGTATATACATTAAGGTAATTTATGTTCTGTTTCTTAACAGTGACATCTGAATCCGATTCAGAGGTATCTTGGCCAGAAGAAATGGAAAATGATATAAGAATAGTTTAATAGAAAGAGAAAAACCTGAGGAATCTGAATCACCTCAATCGGAATTGCAGATTCTGGGAAACCTAAATAGCCAGGCCTCTACTAGCGAATCAGGAAATCAGCCTGATAAAGTTCCAGAGGTACAGGATTTGGATGCTGAGGCATTAGCAGTTCTGGGTGAAATAAACATAGAGCAAGAAAAAGGTCCACCTCTTCACCCTGAAATTGCAAACAGATGGACACCCATTCTGAGCAAAGGCCTAAAAAAAGGAAGACAAGAGAGAGCTTATGCAAAAATATATGCCATTCGAAAATGTGCCACGTTTAATAGCACCAACTTTGAACCCTGAATGTATCTCAGCAATTTCAGCATCTATGCTGAAAAGGGATACAATTATTAAAGAAAAACAAAAACAAATAGCTGCAGTATTGACTGCTATTGGCTCTGGTTTAGAGTCCATATTAAAGAACGGAGACAAAATAGAAATAATCCGTAACATAAATGATGCATCCAAACTATTATGTGATTATTTTCAATCTGAGACCAATAATAGAAAAATTTTAATTACTAATGCAGTTAATCACAACCTTAAGGAGACTCTAAAGGGTGACTCAGATATGTTCTTATTCGGAACAAATTTAGCAGAAAGAATAAAGAATGCAAAAATTATACAGAGATCTGGAAAAGATCTGAAAGAAAAACAGGAGCGACTTAAGGGGCCAACAAAGACTTTAAACTGGCGGGGCCCTCCTCAGTTGAGCACCAGGCTGGGGGGGAAGAGAGTAACCAAGCCCAAAAACAAGCAGCAGCAACAACAACAGAAACCACTGCCTCCTCGACGATATTAGAGGTTCCTACACCACAGGTAGGAAGACTGCAATATTATATAAATAATTGGCAAAGATTGACTAATGAACCTGTCATATTCAATTGGGTTAAGGGATATTCAATTCCATTTGAACACATACCTATACAAAATAATTTTCCCTTAAATAATAATTTTTCATTAACTGAGTTAAGTCAATTAAAAATAGAAATTAATAAGTTGTTGTCTATACAGGCTATAGAGACTTGTGAACCAGTGCATGACCAATTCTGTTCACCAATATTTTTAGTTAGAAAACCAAACGGGGACTTTAGATTTATTTTAAATCTAAAGGAACTCAATAAATTTGTTAGAATGGATCATTTCAAATTAGAGGACTATCGTACAGTGTTAAAATTAATTAACAAAGATGATTATTTGGCAACAATTGATATTAAGGATGCATATTATATGATAAGTATTAAGTTAGATCATAGGAAATACCTACGTTTTTATTTTAACAACAAACTCTATCAGTTTAATGTACTCCCCTTCGGCCTTTGTACAGCACCTTATGTTTTTACAAAGATTTTAAAACCAATCAATGCCAGGTTAAGAGAAGATGGGTTACGCCTGGTTCAATATTTAGATGACTATATACTTATTTGTAGTAATTACAATGAATGTGTTGAAAAGATACAGTTAACTCTAAAATTATTTACTAATTTAGGATTTATAGTCAATATTAATAAGTGTAGTCTCACCCCCTCACACCAGTGCAAATTCTTAGGACTAGTTTTCAATACAGAAAACATGTCTATTTCTATAACAAGAGAAAAAAGAGAAAATTGCCTTCGCTTGATCAAAAAATTAAGTAAGAAACCATTATTTTCTATAAGATTTTTAGCTCAGGTGTTAGGAACACTAGTATCTGTTTGTCCAGCAATTAAATATGGTATGTTATATACAAAATTGCTTGAGCGACATAAATACTTATCACTTTTAAAATATAATAATAATTATGAGGCACAAATTTCACTACCTAACCATTGCAAACAGGATTTGAAATGGTGGGCTGAAAAAAGTTAAATATTCTACAAGCCCAATAAGAAAGAGTGATTTTGTTTTAGAAATACACACTGATGCTTCCAACACGGGTTGGGGTGCCTCATGTGCTGGACAGACAGCTAGTGGGCCCTGGACAGAACAAGAATCAAAATTACATATCAATACTTTAGAATTAAAAGCTGCTTTCTTCGGGCTAAAGAGTTTCACAAAGAATCTAAAAAATATTGAAATATTGTTACGAATAGATAATACTACTGCAATAGCTTATATAAACAGGCTAGGTGGTATACAATACCCCCACTTGTATGATATTGCTAGGCAAATTTGGCAATGGTGTGAAGATAGTAACCTCTGGATTTTTGCATCATATATTAACACTAAAGATAATGTCACTGCTGATTTTCAATCAAGGAAGAATATTGGCCACACTGAGTGGGAGCTAGGGCAGATGTATTATAGGAAAATAGTGCAAACCTTCGGTACACCTGAAATAGATTTGTTTGCATCTCGAACAAATGCTAAGTGCAAAAAATATGTGTCGTGGCACCCAGACCCTAATGCAATCAATGTAGATGCTTTTACATTATGTTGGTCCCAGCTTTTCTTCTACGCTTTTCCACCATTTTCACTAGTATTAAAAACTTTAGAAAAAATAATTTTAGACAAGGCGGAAGGCATAGTTGTTGTACCTTACTGGTCAACGCAGCCCTGGTTCCCACTGTTTAAAAAATTGTTGGTAAATGATTTTATTGTTTTCCAACCCAATAAAAAATTACTTACCCTGTGTAATTACAGATCACCGCACTCTCTTCACAAGAACCTATCTTTGATGGCAGGTCTGCTCTCCGCCAGAAATTTTTAAGCACAGGCATTGGTGAGGAAGCCACCAACATTATGTTGAATTCAGTATCAGAAAATACACTTAGGCAGTACTTACCTTACCTCAGGGACTGGCTTATATACTGTTCATCTAACAATATTAGTACAAATACTGCCAATATTTCACAAATTATAACTTATCTCACAGTAAAGTTTGATGAAGGTATGTCTTATGGAAGCCTTAACTCCATAAGATCAGCCTTGTCGTTATTGATAGGTTCTCATATTGGAATAAATGATCAAATAAAAAGATTATTTAAAGGGTTCTATAGGTTGAGACCAAATAATCCCAAATATCAATTCACTTGGAATGTATCAGAAGTGTTCAATTACCTTGAGCTTCATCAGATGGATACAAAGGATGTAAAATTCCAAACAAAGAAAACAGCAATGCTGTTTGCTCTAGCAACAGGACAAAGAGCACAAACCTTAGCATCAGTGGAAATTGACAAAATAAAAATAGAGAATGACAAAATTTGTATTACAATCTCCAAATTGTTAAAGACATCAGGCCCCTACAGACAGCAGCCATTGCTTGTATTACCTTTTTTTGATTTAAAACCTAATGTTTGTCCTGCTAGAGCAGTGATTAATTATTTGAAGTTAACTGAACAAATAAGAGGCAACATAAAAAATTTATTTATTTCATTTAAGAAACCCTATAGAGGGGTATCAGTAAGTACAATCAGCAGATGGATAAAAGACATTTTAAAAGAAAGTGGTATAGATGTGAACATTTTTTCTGCTCATAGCACAAGGCATGCTTCTACTTCAGCAGCATTCCATACGGGTGTATCAATAGATATTATAAGAAAATCAGCTGGTTGGACTGAAAATTCAATTTGTTTTGCTAGATTCTATAATCGTCCTATTTTGAACAATAAGGACACAATTTATGCTAATGCTGTTTTTAAAAATATTAATATTGATGACTAATTGTAATTATAATAATTATTAATAAGAAAACTTCTTAACCTTTATTGTTACAATTTAATTATAATTAAAGTCTGATTCTGTTCTGAGACTTTGAACATCTAACATATAGTATTATTTCCATCGTCGAGGAGAGACAACAAGGCTATAATTGAACAATCAAACGAGCTTACCTGTAAGCGAAGTTCGATTGAGATTATACCTTGTTGTCTCTCCGAAGACGATGGAACCCACCCATCCCCTATGAGACCAGGCTCAGTCCCAAATAGAATCAGACTTATGCTTTAAACTAAAATGAGTTGACAGATTGAGGCGCGAATGAGGTGCAACTAGAGGATGCGTTCAGAAATTTTAAAGTTACTTTTAACTTATGTAACGCCACCGAGATAAGAAGCGATACTAACATATAGTATTATTTCCATCGTCTTCGGAGAGACAACAAGGTATAATCTCAATCGAACTTCGCTTACAGGTAAGCTCGTTTGATTGTTCAATTATAATTTAACGACTTGAATACAAAACTTATACTTGGCAGTGGAAGTAAAAGGGGAGTTCTCAATTCAAGGAGCGGTCGCGGGTCGTCACTCCGTGTACAGAGTCGTATATACCGCAGTACTTCGGAACTTTGATAGCACGATTTAGGCTTCTATGCGTTACGCTTATGGTGCGACGACAGCACTGTCACAATACTTTCTCCATTATCCGTAGGGTAAAAAGAATGCAAATTTTTGAAAATAGTATTGAAAGATGATGAAGTAACAATATGACAGATATAAAATTTACTTTATAGTATTAAATAAATTGCACATATCGAACGAGAATCGGAGAGGTTAGGCTATACTGTCAAGGTCATGCTACCCGCTTTCGATAAATCACGTTTTTATAAAACATCTATCCTCGATTACGAAAGAAAATGCAGATGCGTTGTTAACTACTAGGCTGCAAAAAATTTTATGAATAGGTTTTTAAAGATATTTTGCTGTAACGCTATACCTTAAAACCGAGCAAAGTAGTAAAGAGAGATAACACGTATGAAAACTGACAAAATCATCATCCGTATACCCCTGTTTCCTCCTCCAAAACTAAACTGTCTTTTACCCCTTAAATTGGCAAACTTTATTACTTACTTATTTTTATATTTCTGTCATATTTTTGGGTTGATAGGTGATAAATGGACAACTAAAAAATAAATTAAAAAATGTTTGTATGTTTGAATATTTTTATACCATGTATCTAATAATGCACACTACCAAGTAGCCAGACATTCATCTTTGAAAATCCATGTGCAATATGTATCCTACATTACTGGGTAGGTAGTAAATAAAAATATTTTTTTTAGAATGATTAATGTATTTACTATTTTAAACATATAATATCTATATCAAAATATTTAAAATAATAGTCTTCGACTTATAGTAGAAACAAAACTTCAATGTCTTTTTTATAATTGTCTTTTTTACAACCACATTCACACAGTTATCACATACCTATAAATAATTACAAAATAAAATAATAAAGCGTAATAATATTACAAAATTATTACATAATGTGGTCTTATAATTTATGAGATCAATCAATAAATTTAAACATAAAAAGACGCATGAAAGTAAAAAATGCAAGTGACTACAACTATTTGCTTAGTTTAAAAGCAGCTTCTATTCTTTCATTAGACGTAATTTGCGAAAAAGCTCCGCAGCCTTGTTTTTTTTTCAAAATTTTATCAAAAGGTAGCTTTTGGACTCCTTTACGCAAACGATTTGGTCTCACTGTCCCCAGAAAAATATCCCGTACTCATTTCTCAGATGATAAACTAATTCTATGGAGATAAAAAAATATCAAAATAAATCACTTTACAAGCAGCCTTTTTTGATTGTCTTACTCAAAGCTATGACAACTTTAGTTTCCAATCCCATGCTGTTTCCTTCTTCATTAAATTCATGTAATCGAAACGTGTTCTCTTCCCAATAAAGCAAAAAATCATACACCATTCCAGATATTTCTGCTCTAACGAATATTTTAAATTACCATTTTCGAGGCTTATTTTTGATATAATCTTTGCGGGCTCTCGTACCTTTATACAGCACCATCATTTCTTCTACACTTAACCAACCTTCCTCTTCAATATTTATACAATTTTGGCAATTTTTTCTAACAGAGGTCTTATTTTGTAATAACAATCCCCATCGTTACCTAAAGCACCCACAAAATGTAATAATCAGTTGAAATGTTTTCAGTGTCATGATATTTGCTATTTTACTGTATCTGAGACCAATAATCTGCATAAGCTAGCAAACGTACGACACCCATGAGAACATTTATAACAATAAAACATTAACTTCATCCAAAGTCGAATTCATGACCGTGCCTTTTATTTGCATATGATATAAATTACACATATTACAATCACAAAGTCTGACATATTCTAACAATGATTTTGTTCGTTCGTTGAATATCTTATCACCGATTTCAGCAGTGTATTTAAATCTTGCAGTTGTTCACTTAACTTCAAGTTTTTTTTTGACTACAGACTTTTTTGACTAGGTGAACTCTTTTGCTGGATCGAGTGGCATTTGATGGTGATGGTACGGATAATATATGTGTAGAGCTATTAGCTATTGAAGACATCGGTGCAGCTTTCGCTGGGACTATTACATTGGTTGGAGAAACAGCAACACTGGATGTAGACAAATTACTCAACAAACTAGCAAGCCTCGTAATATCCTCCGTATTTTCGGCCGGGACTAATACCTCCCTGTAGTCGTCTTCACTTTGTAAGTTTCGTACCGGCCTAAAAAGTAAACAAACCATTCATACATACATATACAGATAAATAAATACGATTTAAATAACGTTTCGTACATGGTAATGTATCTGAAAATGCACACAGTAAAATGTACTCTCTAGTGTTGTAAGTATGGCAATGTGTCCTTAGAGCACACTTCTAAAGTCAGGTCATAGTACCGGACATTGGCGATGTGCATTTGTAGATACATGAACATTGACAGTAATATTTTAGATAGATTAGAAAATATTATTGTTCGATCAAATTTTTTTACATAACCGAAACAATATACATTAAATTACTTAACTATCGCATATATCTGTAATAACAACTATATTTGGATAGGATTTTAATCGATTCTTACCTTATAACTCGTAGACGCACGCGCATACTCCACCGTTTTTGCGATCTACTTACTACAAATGTTGCCATACGTAATAAATAATATTTTTACTGCCGAAAAGAAGGATGTCATAAACTAAATAGAATATAACTTTAGTCTGAGTATGCTAAAATATTTCCCAATATTTTTTGAATATGTGCATTATTGGGTACGTTATCAAGTTAAGGGTTACTACAGTATAATGTAAGAAGGATTATGTCTGTCTGTAAATATTGCTTTTTAATTTTTTTTAATTTGTTTGCTAGACGTCTAGTAACAGCGGTATAACTGTAAATAATGGGCAGTTTTTGTAATTTTATATTTTAAAAATAATTAATTTCGGACTACATTGCGCCCACATAAGTGTGTCAAGATTTACCATATTCGCAATAGGCACACGCAGTATTAATTTTAGAACTTTAAAGTTAATCCCAGGCTCAGGTCATGAAGCTCTATCGATGCCCACGATATCCTGACATTTCTCTCAAGCGACTCTTGTGATATTTAGGGAACGAGATGGGTTTACAGATTTTTCCATTAGATTTCAGGGTTTGAATTCCTTTTACCCATTTATCCAGACCATCATGAAAGCTAAAGAAATGCTGCAAATCACCCACCTGAGCCACCTGTATTCATAAACTGCATGTATGTGGTCCTCAATTCTCTTACCCGTACCAGCCTCGTAAGTACTCGTACCGTACACACTTTTGTTTTAAATAAGAAAAATTGCCAAAAATTCCAATAACGAAACGCTTATAAGTAGTTGTAACGAATAAATACCCTTATAGGTATACTAAAGTATAGAGAAAAAAGTCACAACAATATTTTATTTAAACTGATAATGTTAGAAAGAGTATTTTAAAAAACGGAAGTGACAAACGAGCTTACAGACCGCCGGTGTATAGGCATCAGTGGCCTTTCACCACATGGGCACATACAGCCAACTTCAAACAAAGAAAGCTATAAATGCGTTGTCACCTCTGAGAATTAAAGATTTTCCTACGTCCAGTAATTTAAAAAAAAATACATTCTTATCAAGGAACTTTGGCAATAAAACAAAAAATGACCGTATACAAAACAAGATATTATATACAAGATAAGCTGAAGCCAGAATAGCAATAAATTAAACAGATCGAAGTCAACAAAATACAAAGCTATCGCAAAATGGACGGCTTTGGAGCAGCTTCGTGCTCGCGTCCGCTGTAGGAACTGATACGTCAATTTACGTACTGTTAACTTTATCTTCCAGTATATCTTTTTCATATAAATAAACAATAAGATATTCCTCGCTCCCATTTCTGACTCTCTGTGGATGTATATCGCCGAAACAGAGACGTGTTAAAAATAGTACGCTTAATATTGTTCTGTATATGATAATTTTAAGTCATATTTATGTTTTATAAATATTTTTAAGTTAAGGTACAATTAATGAAAGATATCTTGTTGTATTGAATTGAACGCCCCACCAGTGCTGGATACATAAATATATTTTTTAGTGTTTAATGTTAAAGGCAGGAAGAGACTTACACGCTGCCCCAATGCGAGTTGGCGGACTCGACATAATATCATCCTTTAACTACCTCATTAATCTAGTGGTCATAAAACCGCTTCTGAGCATGTGGTCCCGCGTTTAATTGTAAAACAAGTTACTGATTTTTCTGCATGAAAACTCTCACTAGCAGTCCCAGAGTCAAGAAATTGGAAGTGGGTTCACCCGCGGTTCGACAAAACACGTAAGGTCGTTGGTCTTGCGCTTTATCTCAGGCCATTGAAGTCGTATTGTTACGTCAGTCTCTGTGAGTGAGGGAACAAAGAGTGCGCCTTTGAATGCGCATACAC